GTCTGTGTAGATCACAAACGGCTTCGAGCTTAGCAGGTACACCCTGAACTTGACAAGGGCATACTTCATCGCAGGTAGAATCTTTTACGTGGACTTGGTAGTTCCGCTTTCGCAGCTTTAAGCTAGCGGGACTCGAACGCGATCACCCGACTTCACCCCTATGAGTCTGCTTGCAGCAGTGCACACCCGATCGCAAAGTCCAAATGTCACAGACGACACTAAAAGGACGATTGGGGTCTGGCAACGCCAGTATTGGTGCATAACGAAGGCTGTCTTTGACCGTGTCAAACGTTCCGATGCTCGGTGTCCCAACACCATTCTTTGTCTTTTTTAAGATGAAGACAGTGGCCGTGCCATTTCTACATAAATTGCGCCATACTTATGCAAGTAGTTGGAGAGGCCAAGCCATTTATCAAGTCACATACGTTTTAGTGCTTCCAGACGTGCAACAGCTTTTTTAATCAACTTTGACGCCTCCGTTCGTCGCGAAGGCAGCCATTAACGCATTCAGACAATCGTCACGTTGTCACGAGCTTCGATATCAAGTCACATTCGATTTGACGCTTCCAGTCGTGTCCGCAAGTTCTTTTGGTTCTTTCGAACAAAACAGCTCACAATGGCCTTGGCCTTAACGGAATCCGCTCAAATGGCCGCGCTTCCCGATTCAGAATTTTATTTCTTCCGCGCCGCAGATGCTCTCATCGGCATTAGTATACAGCTTATTCGTGCGTATGCACTTGAGCACCGGTCTTAAATTGACGACGTGGTTCTCTTCATCTGTCATCCCGTGCCCTGCACGCCTGTGAACGAAGATGTCGTCAACGTATGTCTGTGCATACGCCCAATGGGGCCTGAACAACTGCGTCACAAGACGATTCAATGTTGCTGGTGCAATTGACAGTCCTTGGGGCATTTTTAGCCACTCCCAGCGCATCCGCTCGAGAACCCACCGCTGTTGGCGGAATATCGCTCGCTATCATGTGCAATTGGAAATAATCATCAACCAAGTCGAGTGCGCTGTACTTTGTACAGCCGAGCATATTGTTCTTATGAACACTCTCTCTAGGAGTTGTCGTTTGTGGCAGCGTTTTGCTTATTATAAACGTGAACGATACGCCACTCGCCGTTCGGCTATCGGACACAAACGTGGGTTTCGAATGGGAAACCCTGCACTTACGCACCATTACTGCGTCGTGCTTCGAACGTGAAAAGGCGTCAATGACGTCACACTGCCCTTTGGGCAGAGTCCGTTGGCGTGGTACGCAGTATTTGATTCGCGGAACCAAGTCAATCTCATGACGCACACCTCGGTCTGAAGGTAGGACCGACGGCGGGTGGTTGGAGACGACGTCATAGAATTCCTCCGTCAAACGAAAATACAGATCGGAAGGATTCTTCAAGATTGAAGATCCACTTTGTGCGTTCAGCACCTTCTTACTGTCGTCCAGGACAGTTTTATACAGAAGCAACGACGAGTAAATCTCCTCGTTTGGACATAGAGTCACTCATCGTCTCAAATGCCTGCCTTCAAGGCACTGCTAAACCCTTCGGAGGACATCTCTTCCAACTCAAGAAGAGCTCCCACCACGGGAATAGCTTTGAGGGTGACGTTGCCACCTTTCTCTCCCGCCATACCATTGACAAGGTAGTATAGCTGTACGCTATCGTCTACGGTAGACACACACACTGGGTCAGGACCGACGCCCTGAGTCTTGCAGATGACATACGGCTTCGCCATCTCGTCTCTACAGAGGTTTTACGTCTCATCGAGACCTGTGAGAACACGCACTCGGCGTCACCAGTGTCCTCATTCCCTGCTCCATCGGAGCTTTGATGTTATTGACAACATCCGACGAAGAGCTGTTATTTCCGCCGTCTTCGTCCAGTGGAAAATTTGCCACTCCACGCGCATCAGAAGGGACTTGTCCCGGATGCCTCGGACCTCGTCCAACCCTGTTATTCTTGATATGCAGCAACTGTTTTGAAACGTGAGCAGTTCTCAGTGGATTACGTGCCACTCCCCGCGCATCACAAGGGCCCCGCCCATGATGCCTCGAACATCATCCCTCCATGCCATTTTTGACGCACGGCAACTACTTCGTATCGTGAGCAGTGCTCAACGGTTTACGTGCCACACCACATGCATCACAAGGGTCTCGACCATTATGCATCGGCCCTTGGCCGACCATGCCATTCTTGGCATGCAGCGACTGCTCCGATACTTGAGCAGCGCTTAGTGGGTTACGTGCCACTCCACGTTCAGCCCGCGATTCTCGCACGGGACTTTAATATATCGGTATTTGACAACGCTGATACTCCAATATCTAGCACATAAATCGTTCCGGTCTAGTGCCCGTGCCAACAGCACTTCTGCTTCCTACCAAAGTTGGGTTCATGACTCACCAAAGCTCCAGTTGGAGACGTGCGTGAAGCGCCATAGGTCTTTGACCTCCAATCAATCCATAGCTCATGGTGTTCCTACCATGCCACACTACTAATAACTGCATTACTTCTATGGTATTTTAACTACATTGGACGAGTTGTCAGTCGTGCTGAACGAGCGATGGAATGCGTAAATTTTACCGTGGCCGTCGCATGCCTGGTATTGTGGCGGTCTATAACAAGAAATTACGACATTGTACTTTTAGCTGGAATCTGGATTGTTTTCACATGCTGCATTGTAATCGGCAAATTCTCACTGGTTTCTGCTATACTTGGCTTTCACTCACCGAGTGCGCCGTCACCACTGCTGACGAACACAGCATCCTCTTAATCCCACCACGGCTTCATAACACGAACACATTTTAGTGGTCCATGAGTAAAGAAGCGTGTCATAAGATTTTTTAGCTTTTTTATCATTTGCAGTTAAAGTTCCAATGTTACCGATTCCAAGGATTAGGTCATACGTTGCATCCGAGACTAACACTAGTCAGTGTTCCACGATATCAAAGTCAAGTAACCTGACACCGAGGTCCAGTGAGACCATCGTCACAGTGACACAAGTCCCCATCGTTAAGCGAACAGTGACAGTATCACTTAACCAAGCTTCCAGCGCTTCAGTATACAGCTTAATTCTTTTGATTGTGGGCATAAGTGCCCGACGCACCAGAATCGATAAGGATTTTTCATGGCTTATCAAAGCCCTCTACAATCGCCTTTACGACCAGCAAACCCAGCTTGTACACACCTTCCGAGATCAAGAGTACGCAGCTCTTCGGGGCTGTACCTGCTACCCTCTACCTCTTTTAGGCTGAACAGAACTCAGTTCTCCCCAAGAAAGCTCCCCGCGCCTACCGGGTGGTCTCGTTTTCTAACGTCAACCTATACTGGTTAGAAGCGGGATGCCAACTCGACCAGCCTTTACGCGCCTTGCGCAAGGGACAATCCGTCTAAAATTAACGGGTGTCTCCCAACAAAACACCGTCGGGTGTTCACACGCTGATCAGCTCGGAGCTGTCCCTCCTCCTTCTCAGCATAGCTGGGTTTGATAGGCTCACTCAACGAGATATGAAAGTATGCATTCCAAACCAGTCGTTTCAACTTAAAATTAAATTTGGTATTAAATGCCATATTCACCGCTTCATCAAAAGAAGACAGATGCACACGGAAAACTTGCGTTCTGGCCACGCCAGTGCAAATACCCTCCATAAAGACGGTCACTACGACCGCCACGGGCAGAGGATCTGCTGCCATCCCGGCAATAAGAGTTCTCAACGCTTGGACGAAGTCCACCAACCCCTTTTTTTCTTGCCCTTTCGGGCAGCAAGGAAACGCTATCACACGCGATAATCCTAGTTAGGCGAGAAAATACTCGCTGTAGCTAACGCTTCAGCAGGGGAAAAGCAGCTTGAGCTGAAGCACCGCACGTTACTGCCAATTCTCGCGATCGACACACGAGCTTGAAAATAGCTAGTCTTTAGCATTCCAAAGAATGCGTGATCTCCGATTTAAGTTCGAAGCTTCACCACACACTCCTACTGCGATGGGTTAGGAAGGGATGTCCTCACTATTGATCCGAGGACGACAACCGCCTGTAGTGTTCACATTCTCCATCAATAAATTAATCGAAGTAGCCGGCGTTGGAATGACTACTGGTGCTAATAAGTGTAACAGGAATTGCCGTGGGTGTAAGTTTACACACACTGTCTGAGAAAGGCTTAGATCATTTGACACGACTCATCTCGTGTTACTCGCTTCCAGCGGGCCGTTGACTTAAGCAAAGTAAAGGTAAGGTGAAGTGCCATTAATTATTATAGCCAGTACGCTCTCAACTTCCTTAACCTGATAAGTTATTCCAGATCTAATACAACAGAACTGAAAGGGGTATATGACAATACAGGGCGTACAGCTTATTGAAACACGCAAAGGATGCGGTCCATACAACATATATGAGGGGACCTGGCCTGTTACACCATATGGCAACTAAATAACAAAAAACATGTAGTTACAATTTCGCCACCTCGACCTAGATTGAGGCATATTCTAACTTCTGAGCAGCTCCGCCGTACCCAGAGATGTTTCATTTAAGGAAGTACGAAACATTCGTGCCTTGCGTGCTATACTTGCCTTCGGCTAACAGATCAGGCTTCCGCGCACGAGCAAGCGACAAATCCCTCAAGGGGACACGTTAAGAACCAGTAGGCGCAAGGCGGCCTTTCGAGAAGGAGTCGACCCCTAATGGAGATCGTGGTGACTAGTAATCAGCTTCAAATGAAAGATACTGTTCCTAAAAGAGTGGTTGAGCTCACAGGCCAGGTTTGTTGATTGATGATATCAACGTCTTAGGCCATGTGCAGCCGTGGACATGATGGTAGAATCAGAAACAGCGTCGTAGAATTACGCATGACGCTCAGCTATCAATGACAGTAGTCAATACGCTGAAGCAGTGAATGCGTCACATTCGATTATAACACCCGTTCTTCTAGTGGCGGAGACATTATCAAAAGTGTTGAATGCTGTGATAAATCTTCAAATGTGGTTTCAAGACTTCAATTCGAGATACGATCCCAAACCAGACAAGACGTTGCTGGAACGCCACAAGCTATGTGTCAAATGGAAGTCGCATTATCATAGCGCATTGCTATTCGCTTCTAGTTTTGAGTATTGGTGATATTTCTCTCTCTAAATATATATATGTATGTATATTAATTTGGCCCTCCAGGAAAAAGAAGCGCTTTGGCGCGGGCACCATGTCGCGATATCTTCTGTGCAGAGCTTTAGACAGCTCAAAAATGACAGCAATGGTGTTGCAAAGTGCTTCAAGCCGATCCCGAAAGACGGAAGCGGCAGTAAGCCAAGATTTTACGGCAAATCGAAATGTTTGGTCGTATATTGCGGTTTATATGAGTCTATTTTTGTTAAGACGAGAGAACACAACTACATGCCATTATAATAAGAGTGTATCTTTGGCAGAAAAGTGAAACAGCTGCTAACTGCTGTCTGCGGTGGCAAATTTAACGGATAAGAGCGTTGCAATCTCCTCTGCTAGAGCCAGCGAAATCGAAATGCGTCTAGTCCCTGAACATGAATAGATATCTCATTTTGTTCTGATGCGACGGAATGGCAGAGTAAGCACTACTGGGTGAAGGGCTAACCACATGGAGCATTGAAGTATCACGATCAACTAATGATGGAAATTACTCGCTCGTGACTGGTTGACAGGCGAATTCTTGAGGTTATAGGTCTCGCCTTACTAGCGCCTGTATTAACAAAAATTACCTTTAAAAGCGATGAAAGAATAATTCCTTGTGGATAACAACAAGAAATTGTACAATAGTGACGTCACCCAATTGGTACGGTTGGTACCAGAGAAGAAGCTGAGCTCATCATCCGACATGATTGAATATATTGGGATCACGTGTTGACCACTGATTCCGAGGAATGGAACAACCATCATCACGGATCCTATAGATCTTTCTTAACCCTTATTGATGGAATATCATAGCGTGATTACGAAAGTTTCCCCATGTGGGCCACACTTACCAAAGGTACGGTGTGACGCCAAACACGCTTTCGTAAATGCACGAAGCGTTTTTGGCGGAAAAAATTACGTCTCAACACTCAATGGTGGCTTTTTGTAAAAAAATGCTCGCGGCAAGTGGTAAATTGTGCATTATTACAATATGTTTGATACAACCACGATTACGGCCCAAACAACAATTACGAGAATGTAAGTAACCAAGTCGAGGGACAAAACAAAGTGAGCAGACAAGGGCGATTTGCATGATCAATCGCATTTTGTTTAATCCATTTACCTAATTGACGATTTCCTTCAACTGATAAGAGAGACTGTGATACATCTCGTATTGCGGTGAGTACTCGAAGCAGGATGCTTCCTGAGTGGCTAGATTTGCCGTAGGTACCGTCTAAAGCACCAGCCTCGTAAAATTTTCCTGTGACACAGCTGTTCGGCTACATTGTCAAACCGAAGTCAGTAATATACTCGCTCAGTGTTGTGTGAGAGTGGAAAGTCAGGACTGAATTACCTCACTTATACTTGTGAGCGGCGCACGCTCAGATACGCTTCTTGCCAATATAGACAATTGTGTCATTAGTGCCTCTAATTACTGTTTCTGACTTGTATAGGGAATTGTGATATAAGTGCCTTTATTTACCTTTTCTGAATTGCTTCATTCAAAAACGGGCCTATGAGCAGATTTAGAGAATTTAAAGGCGATTGTGAGTTTGCCAGTGATAATGTCTTGATAGAGCTTGAAGATGCGCCTACTTCGGGCAGTTACCACACAAATATATTGCAAACCATGCCGACACGGTACGAACCTTCACCAATATCGTTTGAAACTTTTTGCCTTTTTCTGCACTTAGATCGGCTATTCCATATCATCTGTAATACTGCATCCTTTGCAAAAGCTGTATCATAAACCAACCTGATATTAATGCGCGTTGACGTGCGATATTTTTTGAATCTTGTCCTATGATAGCTGGTTGAAATAACTCCCTTACCACGACTAGGTGCAACTTGCGATGAAGGATGCCCTCATCAAGTTAAATTCGCGCCTACTCTAAGCTGTTTGTAATCTATACAAATCATACATTATTGCGCACATCAACGTCGTTACCACATCTTTCATAGAAGCATTCTTGCTGAATATGCCTTTGAGATTTGGTATAAGCCGGATCGGTTTAACATGGTGGCGGATGCCCTTTCGCATCGCCTTGTCGGATGACGTCGCCGATTGATAAGGCGGTGTGTTCAGCCTACGAGTCAGACACAGCATATGATATGTTGCCGAAAGGGTTTCGACTGCTAGGAGTTTGAAAAGCTCGGATGTTTCTTTATCGAAGCGCATGGTTGTGGAATTGCACCACTAGCGTTCTGTATTGGTAGCTGGTAAATATATAAGTGGGCAGACACATATGTGCGCATATATGTAATGTCTAAACGGTTAAATACTAGCTGCACGCGGACGCATGTATGGGCAGCCTACTCTTCCGGCAATGCGCTCTCAGCTCATCAGTATGGTATATAGTTTGAATCATTCTAAAACATGTGACCAAAAACACCGATATTAGCGCGATTGAAGGCCGTCTGAGCAATATCAATCCTCCGGCTGCTGTCAACAATGTGACTGATGAGGATAGAGCCACACGTTTCTCCAACAAAAGGTGTCGTTGCAATGGTTTGCCGGTAGCCATTTGATTGTATAGGGTTTCTAGCTTTACAGCGAAATGTTGGCAAACATTTTCAAGATGCTCGATACCAGATTCCATTTGTTAAGGACTCCACCCGCAAACCAATTGCCATGTGGATCGCTTCAAGCGCAATTGCGGAAGATATCATTCGAGGGTTGTAGAAGATACCCTTCGAAGGACTTGCGCGGACAGACCGCGGTGTTAAAGCTAGCTATTTTTGCTGGGCTTGTGGTGTCTGGGCTTGACTTTATTCTACTTAGTTTTCTACTTAATTGGGTTGGTATGCCGCCGTGCGCCTTTGATATGGCTTCAATGACCGTGGAAGGGGGGAGGCGATCATAATTGACTTGCTGATATATATCTTGCAACACTATGTAGCAAAACTAGAGATTTTACCTCGATGAGATTGAGCATCATTGCTCATGTTGCATGGTGCTATGAACATAAGCAACGCGCTGATGCGTGGAACACGCTCGAATATCTCGTCCAAAGATTTTTTTAATGAATGTATTTACCTATCAATAAAATTCACTTCTGTGCTATATAAGATCAAGTGCTGCGCTACATTGAACCGCTCACGGTCATGGAGAAGAAGACATATTTTTTTTCTTTGGATATCTCAAAGCAATTGTAATGGTAGACACCCAGTGTTCTGTTGAGACTTGAGTTGGTCCGTCACACAGTAGTGCTGTCTCAGCAGTATCACCACATCGTGTCCTTGATGAACCACATTGTCATATAATAGTCCTAGATCTTCATCTCGCGACTTACAATTTCTCTTTAGCGCTGCTAGCCATAACACAAGAGATTGCGACACCCAGCTCTTCTGCTTTTCATTTGAGCTTACATATCAGACGTCAAATTAGAGCTATGCTTTACCATTCCACCAAGTATACAAAGCTTCTTTTTCGCTCAACAAATCGGTGCTGGAACCTACGATCCTTTTCGCTTCACCCATTCCTTGGTTTGCATCTGCTTTCGCCTTTTCGAGCTCTGCTAGAGGCACCTAGCAGTATCATTGCTTTTAAATTCAGACAATTACATTCCATGCATGAAAGTTGCCCGTCTTCAGTTTCTGACATTTGCTGGTTTACGACAGTCGCCTTATGACTCGTGGTATTCCAACCACTCCTTGTCTTCAATGAGATCATATCAAGGAAAGTAAGTTCAGGATAGAAATCATTCCAATTTCTTACAGCCTGCGAAATATTTCACCTGGAGGCTTAACATAAACCAAGATACGCTCACGAATGCGCGATGCTCTAAGCTTTCAAAGCCTTCGAGTTTCACTTGAAGGTGAAAAAAAAATCAGCATAAGCTTCGCCACTTTAACCAGTGACTTCGCCGCAAGACGCACGAGCAATCTATCCGTATTTGGCATCTTGGATGCCTCCGCGTATATATGTCTACGCTTTGCGTATTGAACGTAAAAACATAATGCTTCTCAAGCTAATATAAAAATTTTCAGCTGCACAAGACACGCGACGCTAAATAAAAAACAACACTTTGAGCCACATCACTGGTAGAATGACTCGCTTTAAAGCTAGTGTGAATTACCTATAACCTACATTGGGTACAGTAATCTTCATATCTTTTTCGGAAGGCCGCCCAAAGCATACTTATACTAAACAGTTTCCCGCTAAGGGTTTATCATCCGCCCGTGCGTGAAGTATCTACGATTTGTGAGATTCACCCGATATCGAAGGAGTGCGCAGGACCCTGATGTCTTGTATCACTGCAGAACTGCTGAGCAGCCAATGTCTTTCTCTCCTCATCCTCAGCATAGCTGAAATTCATCACCACCGCAGCGTTTGTAAAGATTACATTTTTGGCTTTACGTTTCCCCCTGACGACAGTAATGAAGCTCTTCGCAAAGAATTCGACGCCCACCGACAGTATTGTTGCCCATCGCACCAAATCTGACGTCCACCACTTCCTTGCATGTGGTAATATGGACGTGAAGAATCTTAGTAAGAGCTGCAACCACTCGTAGACACTCGATGTAAATGATAAACGATACCGCTACTAGATTTGAACTTTGTTGCAGCAATTTGATTTTAAACCCTGGACAGAGTGCGCCAATTTTTGCCCCCCCCCTTAAGCGCGCACATGAAGTTCGAACACACCCGATCAACCTTGTTAGGTTGTGGTTACACACGCGTCATAATCATATCGTCCTACATTGGGAGTGCCTCTTTTACCAAGGTATTGCTCGTTAGAGGCCGTTCTCGCGTGCGATGTCCGACGCGCTGGGCGTCGCATGGAGAAGACCAGATTCATGGTCATCCCATACCCCTTCGCCCGAAAAGAGTTTATCAAGATAAGCGGCTGCACTTTGAGATCCATCTCTCCCCCATAGCGCCCGATAGGGAAGCTCCTGGATATGCCTCACCAGCGCATTCTAAAAGCTGGTCAGCGCCTTCTGATGATTTCGACACTTTAATCGTCATACCCGATTAAAAAATTAGATAGGCAAATCTTGCTAATGTAGTTCCTTTATCCTCGCAAGGAAAACAGTTTTACCACGACTCGTTCTTGGGGTTATACACACGTGCTACTTAGTGCAATGGAGCTCCCGTCTACTTGGCACAGAACGAAATTTGACTTTTTGCGTTGGAATTAATTATCTCACAGAGGTGAGTCTCGCGCGTTTCTACAAGGAGCGGAACCGAGGGCTTCTCAGATACATAACTTTTTTGTTTGCTTTGCTATATTAAACGTTCATGTGTCTAAAATTAGTTATTTTTTTACTGATGTACGTGCTATTACTTTTAATGATAAAGCTGCCATCTTGTTGCGTTTTGGAGTAATCTGCCTAAAACCCGATATTCGGTGCACAAAGTTATTCACAATCACACCAAGTGTAATGTAAATTTCTTGCTAGTGCACTGTATTGCAATTAATACATTTATACTAATTGTATCACGAACAAGTACACAAGATGACCTGTTTGCCCCACTACACGAGAATACCCCGATGCGATATTATTTTGGTTCAGTTACTGTAGAGTTCCATGAGTTAGCTTAACTCCTAGTGCTGTGGTGGTCGATGAGCGTTACACTTGCGCAATCTCTTTGACATGTAAAAGAAGTTTGGGCTGTCGCGTGGTCTCCATCTTTAATAGAGTGTTGCGGAGTACGTACTGCACATTGTGTACTATTATGCTATAATTCGTTGCATTTGTTCAAAATATAATGTCGTTTAATTACTACGAAACTTAAAGTACATTTTGTGTAATTGCGCAGTCTTCAGAGGTACCGAATAACTTCTTTAGGATATGTTCGTTGGGGACATGAGCTTGGTAGCCTCGTATCAAGCATTTGATTTAGTTTTGTCATTTAATATAATAGAATGTATATTCTTTAGTTTCAGTTTCGAAACAATTAATCTTTAATATGTGTCACTCTTGAGTAAAAGCTATCTTCGTGTAAGGTTGACGACAACCTTGTTGCATGGCATCGGTAGGACACGTCGGTTGTCAGGGTCACATCATAGAGCGCAGATGGATTTCATAATGAAAATAGTATGGCAGTCAATTTTTTGGTCCTAGTTTGAGTTCGACTTCATTCCCTCTCTCTTTATATAAATCATAAGCGCGAACTCGAACAAGTACTTGAAAAGCTTTTGGATCGAACTGCTTGCTCATCTATATGCGTTAAGAATATATATTGATTGGTCAGGTACCCGACAGTAATTTTACAAATTCGATCTGTAATACTAATCATTACGTGTCAGTATGGGATTACGAAAGCACGGTCACGTCGAGTCGTAGGAGATCATTCCACTTTATAGTTGCAGGGTACACAAGTCGCGCAGTTTCCTTCACAGCATTTTCATTGACAATCTCATACACAAAAATATTCGTAAAGCGCACACGTGTTGTTTTCATCAGGATCAATGGGATTAGGTCTTGAGTTGCGACGAGAAATTTGTTGTTGGCAACAATAAATCCATTCCCATATACTGCATCAACAGTCGCTAAAATCGTCTTGTCGTGTATGACATAGTTCTGGTAACTAGATATGATTCCGTATCGGTTTCCCAAAGTTGCACCAGTAGCCGCCTCAAAAGTTGTAAGGTCAGTATGATTCGAATTTTCGGTTTTGTACTCACTTGATCGACGCCCTTCACCTAGATCCTCGTACCTTGCGACCTTTCTGATTAAAATATATCCAATGACCAATGCCATGGGACTAAAAACAGAGATGACAATAGAAGATACGACGTAGAACCGATTATCAGGAATACTGTACGATGTTAGCAAATCCATTGGCGACAAAGACGCTATACCTGGTCGCACATACAAAAGGCCTTTCGTAGTATCAGCAAACGCAAAGTCTGCAATAATTGCTTTTAAAACTGGGAATATTTTGGTCATCTCAACGCGGTATCCCCATCCCAGCTCGAAAGTTGCAAACGCCAGAAGTGGATCTACGCGCTCGCGAGCTAAATAGCTTATAAAGCTGACAAAATTCATATATACGGCCAGTAAATCAGCGTGGACGAGTTCGGGCTTATAAAATATAACGTGCTGATCCGTAAGAGTATCACCGATCGATATAATCATTTTCGTAATTGTCCAATATCCATTTAATTGGGAGCATACTACAACAATTATGCCTCGGTAGAGCAGCATGGTTGAAATGGTGGAGAATGCGTCTCCCACCCAAATACAACCCATACGAAATCGTCTATAAATAATGAATGTCAAGATGGACAGATTAATAATCACGTTGATGGCAAAAACGCCGTGAACGGCATGTGTCCAGGCCCATGAATCGTGAAGCACAGCTCTACTATACCACCTCCAATCACGCAGCTCTGTTATTGGGTCATTCGATAAATCCCAATGTGCTGTCTCAATGTTTGACTGGGCCATAACGTCGTCTTTGAAGCGACCAAAGCGGCGAGCCATTCGTATAACCTTATCAGGATCCTTAGTATGTGCGTTTGGCAAAGATTTGAGAATCCAGTAATTATCTTCATCTATACCGTGCAACTCCGAGAAGATAAACTCCGGTTCAGCTACGTACGGGTAGTTGAGAGCGACAGCAATGTCGTGCCTAAGCCCAGAGCTGCGCACGTCTTCAATCGCTGTTACAAGCATCACCATTCCAGCTCCCCGTTGAAATTGCTGTTGAATTTCGTAGTCTTGAATCGAGAGCATAGTTGACAAAATGACCGTTTTATATGGATTGCTCTTTTGTCGCACGAGGTAGTACACGCGTGCGGCGCTCTTGTCCCCCCAAACCAGCATATCAAAAGTACAATCCACAACCGGTACCACCAGTTCCAGATCTTTCAAATATGACAAATTGTATGAGGCGTACCTTTGCATTTTAGAGAAAATAAAGCGCAAAAACTCGTTGCTGTAGATTTCTGCGTCAAATTTTGGCACATCCGAACAGCTTGCAAATGAATGTGCTGTTGCTGTTTCAAGGTACAAGGTATCGTATCGTGGTGCGGTAGATCCTTCGAGAACTTCTTGCACCAGAGGACTTTTTTGAATCGTTGCGGTGCCAACATAATCGACTATGAGATGAGATTTATTGATTTCGATCGGCAAGTCGTGCGATACAACACCTCGTAATACAAGTAGTGATGTGATAAATGACTCCATAGATATCATCATGTAGAGCACAGCAGTAGCGAACACAGCTGCGCGATATACAAGGAACCCAATCCGTGCCAGTGTCAATGACTCAGTTGTATCGACGCTATTTTCGGTTGGAGTGAATGACATTTGAGCACGTCCAGGAAGGTTCCCAGAAGGATTGCTTGTATTAAGACGAGAAAATCCTTTAGTTCCTACCTCTATGCCTGAGTCATTGGAGGACAAGAGTGTCACCATCGAAGAGAGTATTTTTCACTTGTGCACGTTGTGAAGAATGCTATAGCCAAGCGTCGGTACCGTTTGACGATCAAAATACACTGTATGGCGATGTATTCTGAGTTTACAATCAATATAGCGACTCACATTACGAATTTACATTTCAAATGTAATTTCTTCAATGCTATTCAGTAATGTCTATTATTATTGTTTGTCGTCAAAACAGAAGGTCCAAATTTACTTTCGCAGCTCAACATAAACTTTTATTCTGGGTTTGGTGAATTGCGGGGCTAAAATGTTAACCTTATACAATCCATAGAAGCGGTTAGAAACTAAGTAGTAAAATGTTTGACTGGACAACCAGGTAGTACATATACGTAGGTGTTTTCGCACCTGTTTACCTGGATCACTCGGAAACCGACACGTTTGTTTCCGTGTTTGCATAAGTGTTGCCTAAATGATTTGTGCTGTAAGCTGGAGGGGGCTCAAGACCTATATGGAGTTACTTGTTATCACAATAGTGATGAGTTTACAGCATTTAAAAAAGCTGAACTTCAATCCGAATTTGACACATTGAAAAATCCTCTTCTACGCGAGGGAGAAAGTCGCCGTGCAAAAAGGTGCCGGCAGATCGGTTGGCATTTTCTGACATTAATTACTATTAACTTACTCAAAGAAAATGATCTTGTGCATCCCGGGCTCTCACTTACCGAAGAGAAGTCTATAATGCCTGGGGAAAACCAAGAAGTTGATTCTGAACTTTGATCATAAAAACTTGCGGATTCGCTTGACATGCACCGGCTTAAAACTTTTATTTTGGTGATGAGATTGCTTTTGTCACTTCATTCAATTTCTGTAAAAAGAAAAACAAAATAGAAGGCAACTGACTATCTGCGGCGAACGTATCCAGTATTTCCAATATATTATCTCAAAAGCCTTCTTGTCAGCAGGGTATCCCTGAATTAAAAGCTATCATTAGTGAATCGTAAATGGAAAGAAGCATCATTTTGAAGCAAACACAATGACGTTAAGAAGGGCATGCAGCCATCATTGAAATAAATGTCGTGCAAGAGATTAAGGTCTCTGTGTAACCATATTAAAACACATATAAATACACAAGTTTCAAAACACCACGACGATAAATTACGCGACGGCGTGCCCAGGATAACATCCGTTTCATAACACATCCGATGCGTTGGGCGCTGAATTCGATAATCCTTTTGATAACGGATCGGTTTATCGCTCTTTATTCATAATCGATGCGAGAAGGAAAAAGTGATCGGACTATCATCAATCGACCCAAGGGCAACACGAAGATCGTTTGGTGTTTCGGCCTGAATTGGAGCGAACAAGAACAAGACGTGAGCAAATGCTAATGATAAGGAACGGCTCAGATGACGAAGAGTCGGCAGAAGGTAGTGAAGGTCCACCTTATCCGAAACGTGCAAGGATTGACGAATATGGACTAATGTCAGAAGCTGTTCTTGCCTACGCTGTTAGCATTGACGATGATAGGGACCTACCAACTACGTATGCTCAAGTGATGGCAAGCGACGATGCGAAGAAATGGCGTGAAGTAATGGATGCTGAGCTTCGCTCTCATTAAGAAAATCAAACGTGGACGTTGAAGCCACGAGGAAAGACCAAACACACAATTGGATTACGATGGGTATCTGCCAAGAAGCGTGATCAAAATGGCGATGTCGTGCGATACAATGCACGACTGATCGCGAAAGGATCCAAGCAAAAGCATGGCGTCGACTTATTCGAGATTTATTCTCCGGTCGCCAACATGAATTCAATCCGGATAATTCTCGCAGTATGTGCTGAATGCGACTATTAAATGGGGCAGCTGGACGTCGACACGACTTTCCTCAACAGGTGTTGGCGGACAATGTGTTTATATAAGTTCCGTTAGGTGTCAACAATGATCAAGGATACCTATGTCAACTAAACAAGGCTATCTACGGACTGAAACAAGCAGCAAGTGCTTGGAACAAGACGATTCGACGTGTCTTCGTGAGAAATGGCTTTAAGAGTTGCGGGGCAGGTCAATGTGTTAATGTCAAGAGCATGAATAAAGGGCTTGTCTACGTTGGACTATATGTGGATGGCATGTCATCGCACCAAGAAACGCGAAAAAATGTATCGAGTCAAGAATGTACTCAAGAATGTTTTCAAGATGAAGGAGTTGGGTATGGCAGAATTTATTTTAGGTATGGAAATCGATCACGACAGGTCATCTGGAACTTTAATAATCAAGCAGGCTCGCTACATCGGCGACGTGGTCAAGCGATTCGGTCAATAAGATGCCAAGAGCGTGGATAACACATGCGCATCAGGATTGAAGCTGTCATCAAAGCAGTCACCAACAATGGAAGATGAACGGTCGGCAATGCGATCCAAGCCTTATCGCTCTTTGGTTGGATGCTTGCTGTACATAACGACATGGACTCGACCGGATATTGAGTACGTGGTAACACAGCTATCACGATTTTGGAGAACCCGGAACTACAACAGTGGAGCGCAGCGAGTGGAAAGGTACTTGAAGACTACAAGCCAAATCCGGATCGTCTACCGGGGAAGTGGGAGTGTTACGGTCAAGGCATAGTTGGATGCAGATTGGTGCAGCAACACCGATAACATACGTTCGGTTACGGGAGTTATGGTCATGATTGCGAGCGCACCAGAGGTATTCAAGTCGAAATATCTGCGGACGGTTGCGCTAAGTTCGGCGGAAGCTGAGTATATGGCTCTCAGCCTTTGCACGCAGGAAGTTCTTTGGACGCGGGCAATGCTAAGAGACATGGGACACGAGCAAGTTGAAGGAACACAGGTTTGGGAAGACAACCAATGTGCAATCGCGTTAGCCAATAATGCCGGATACCACGCAAGGACGAAGCATGTGGACATCGAGCACCATTTTATTCGCGAGAATGTGCAAGGAGGACTATTGAAGATCAACTATATTGACATGAAGAGTCAGCTTGCAGATATGCTGACGAAGGGACTTGAAACCAAGATATTAAAGTATCTGCGCGAAGCATTCGGAATCAAGGTTTCAGCGACAAAGCACACGCAGCATTAGCGGTGAGTGGAAGTGAGAGATTACTCCGCTGAATGCATGTTGAACATGCAGATGACGTCACCATATTTACGAGCACGTCACAGTAAGTAATTACATAGTGGTTGGTGTTCAAAGGTCTAGATAGGTGAGGATGCTTATAGAAGCTTCTGGAAGGATCTAGAAAGACAGTCTTAGAGGTAGCACAGAAAAGCGATGTAAGGACCTAAAATATATTCACTTCGGTTTTTATCTTCTACTCAACAATTAATTAACGAGTCAAAGCTAAACTTTCCGCAAAAAACAACCTAATCTCCTCGCCCGTCGATTTAACTCATCCTCTGTACGGGGTGCCCGACGTGCTTTTGTTCGCTCAAAAATATATCACCGCACAACGTTTCGGCAGAGCAAGTGGATGGTAACATGCGTGGTAATGTGCCCTTAATGATTGGCTAGAAGCAACGTCTGTCTATGTCGATGTTGGGCTTGATCTGACACCTTGCTGGTATTGGCTCGAATCTTGCCAGTAGCAGATAGTGATGGAAAGCTTTAAAATCGCCGCCTGGACAATTTATTGTATCGCACAGCGAACAAAAAGGCCAGAGACGTTTGGATTTGACCCAGAGGCAACGTCGTTAGTCATGAACAAGGTGTGTAAAATTGCCATGCGAATGGCGAATGCAAGCGAAAGTCGATTTTGACAATCGGAGGGGCTTGGGAATGAAAGAGCGTACGCACTTATACAATTGTAAGTACTGACATACTGAGCCAGTAACTTCGGTGTCCTCATCTGAGTTCAAATACGCAACGATTTTCATAATGCTTACCGTCTTTATTGTAAGTTTGACACACTTAGTCAGCAGCGGAAGTAGATTTTAATGGTGTGAATTCACCAATTGCTGGAGGTAACGGATTATAATCTCGAACTACTTTACTTAAAGTGCTTTAAAATTTTTGAAAGATGAGAAGACGCGTCATTGGATGTGAGCGGAAGGCACACATGCAAAAGCGTGAAGGAGATCCACGCCAGCGCCCACGCGACTTCGAACGGTTTATAACTGTAATTACGGTATGACTGGGCTAGTGTCGGCATATGATTGCGCTTGCTGTAAAATATGCTAGCCTCCTCTCAGTTCGTTGGGTATGAGCTGAATATCTACGTGAGCTCAAATGCAACATACTTCTTGATGAAAAGAGATACAGATTCTCAGACTCGTGCTGTTGAAAGGTTGAGCTCACTATACGTCTGATCCTCGGGATGGGCCACACCATGTATCGAAGCCGGAGGTGTTAGGTTCGACTCTGAGGGTCATAACGGCCATTCACCTTAGATTACACGCCGGTATCACCGCAACGACTCTCTTATGATGCGTCGGTCGCAAAGATCACACTATATGTAACGGGGTTACATGAGAGTGATCCGTCACTCTCCCAAGGGAGCTGTGGTGTATGCCACACCACAGCTACTAGATGGATAC